TAATAATGACTTGAAATATTTGAGTACTTATACTCAAATATACATGAGGGGATTTTACATATTTGCATTAAAAAAACTATTTTCACTTCAGGCGAAATAACATACGAAATTATAAACACAAACAGTGAGTGTTTGTGGTGGTTTTTCATAATTGCATTAAAAAAATAAGGATGAATTAACCTGTTTTTTTTGTTTCTTTTTTATTTCAGGCGAAATAAAATACGAAGTTATAAAGACTAATAGAGGCGTCAACCTTTTGATGATCAATAGCTATACTTTCACGAAAAACTGCAGATACGGTTATACGTGGACTTGTTCCCAGAGAATGTCGCAAACCTGCAAAGCGAAGCTGGTCATCCACGGCGATTCCATAAAATCGCATCACTTATCCCATAACCATCCGCCTCCTCGTTATATGAAAACGTCTGATGGTATTTTTATTAAGATAACGTAGTAACGTCAAAGTTTGGTATCGGTGCTGAAGCATGAAGCTAGTTTGTTGAAGCTAGTTGAAGCTAGCTTTTTGAAGTGAAACTTCTAATGCAATTTCCAGGAAGGTTGCGTTAAACATTTAACGCTACCATACTAGAAAGAGACAGAGCGAGAGCGAATGCATGGCACTCGAACGCATGCGCGTAGTATACCTGTTAAAGCCCGGTTCCGACGGTATATCTAACCGCGTTATTAAACTTCTACCCATCCAACTCATCGTGATGTTGGCATCTATTTTCAATGCCTCTATAGCTAACTGTATCTTTCCCGCGGTGTGGAAAGAAGCGAACGTTATCGGCATACACAAACCCGGTAAACCAAAAAATAATCCGATGAGTTACCGCCCGATTAGCCTCCTCATGTCTCTGGGCAAACTGTATGAGCGTCTGCTCTATAAACGCCTCAGAGACTTCGTCTCATCAAAGGGCATTCTCATCGATGAACAATTCGGATTCCGTGCAAATCACTCATGCGTACAACAGGTGCACCGCCTCACGGAGCACATTCTCGTAGGACTTAACTGACCAAAACCGATCTACACGGGAGCCCTCTTCTTCGTCGTTGCAAAAGAGTTCGACAAAGTCTGGCACAACGGTTTGATTTTTAAACTTTTCAACATGGGCGTACCGGACAGTCTCGTGCTCATCATATGAGACTTCTTGTGTAACCGCTCTTTTCGATATCAAGTAGAGAGAACCCGCTCCTCCCCGCGACCACTCACGGCTGGAGTCCCGCAAGGCTCCGTTCTTTCTCCGCTCCTATTTAGTTTATTTGTCAATGATATTCCCCGGTTGCCGCCGACCCAGCTAGCCTTATTCGCTGACGACACAACCGTTTACTACTCAAGTAGAAACAAGTCCGTAATCGCGAGTAAGCTCCAGAGTGCAGCGTTAACCCTCGGACAGTGGTTCCGAAAATGGCACAAAGACATCAACCCAGCGAAAAGCACAGCAGTGTTATTTGAAAGGGGAAACTCACCGCTTATTTCCTCCCACATTAGGAGGAGAAATATCACACCCCCGATCACCCTCTTCGGCCAACCTATACCCTGGGCCAGGAAGATCAAGTACCTGGGAGTCACCCTGGATGCATCCATGACATTCCGCCCGCATATAAAAACAGTCCATGACCGTGCCGCATTTATTCTCGGCAGACTCTATCCCATGATCTGTAAGCGGAGTAAAATGTCCCTTCGGAACAAGGTGACACTTTACAAAACTTGCATAAGGCCCGTCATGACTTACGCGAGTGTGGTGTTTGCTCACGCGGCCCGCACACACATAGACACCCTCCAATCCCTACAATCCTGCTTTTGCAGGTTAGCCGTCGGGGCTCCGTGGTTCGTGAGGAACGTCGACCTACACGACGACCTGGGCCTCGAATCGATCCGTTACTTGGATAAGGCTATGCGTCATGATAATCGCCTTACCGTTGCCGCCGCTGATTACTTCCCGAATCCTGATCACGCAGGAGCAAGTCACCGTCGTCGCCCTAGACACGTCCTTACGGATCCATCAGATCCAATAACTCTTACATTAGATACCTTCAGCTCTAACACTAGGAGCAGGCTGAGGAACCCCGGTAACCGTACTCGTAGAACTCGACAAAGAGGTCGACGTGCAACCTAACCCATGCATCAGCCCGCTGAGTTTCTCGCCGGGTCTTCTCAGTGGGTCGCGATTCAGATCCGGTAGTAGATTCATTCGCGAAGCAATTGCTCTTGAGTTGTTAGGTCTCCTTCGGAGGCGCTCGGGCAGTTGTTAGCAAATCCCACCCCTCCTGGCTGAGCCTTTGCTCGCCCACCTGTCCTGGTGAAGCTGGAAAGGCCTCCGGGCCACCAGTAATATTACAATCATAAAAAAAAACCTGTTAAAGGTCAGCGCGAGCGTGACGAGTAGCGTCCAATATTTTGATGAAGTATTTAAAAATATATATATGTATTTCTCTTTCTATCTATAATTTAAAATATATATAATATAAATGTTGAAGATGTCGCATCTCTTATACACAGCATTCCCTATTACAAGAGCAATCTGATTTAAGGATGAATAATAATTAAAACCACAATACTACACATCGAAAAGAAGTTTCACTTCATTCATATGCACCAAGTTGCACGCGCACCGTTTTTTTTTTGTTAAAAATACTAATTGTAGACTACAGTGCTATAGTATAGTTATGGAATCTTATTAGTAGAGTTTTAGAATAGCGTTAAAAATTGTAATGAATTCGTGAAGGCAGAAAAGGATAAGACATGTAGATCTGGCCCACGAGACTATAACTACCTAGTCAGGTCATAAATTCTGTCACATGTTTAATGTAAAATAATTAAAACAAGTTTATTCATTATGTAACCATTCATATACCAAAATGAACTTAACAAAACATAGATTCTTATGACACTAAAGTTTATTCAAAATGACCTCCGTGATTTTGAATACAGGCCTTCAATCTGCGCGGCCAGTCGTCTATCGCAGCACGAACGAGGTCCATGTCAATATCGGCGGCTGCCTTAATCAAGGATGTCTTGAGTGACTCCAAATTGGGATGAGGCTTTGAGCACGCCTTTTCCTCCAAGTGTTGCCATATCTTGTAATCTAACGGATTCAAATCTGGACTGGAGGAGGGCCAGTCTTCGTGCCGGATGAAGTCGATTTCACGCGCCGCCAGCCAGTCTTGTGTGCTCTTCGCTCTATGAGCTGGCGCCGAATCTTGTTGGAATACCCAGTGCCTGTTATTGAACATGGTATGAGAAACAGGTTCCACAAGGTTCGTCAGGACTGTATTTTGATACACAACTGCATTCGTTTTTACACCTTTCTCACAAAAATGTACCTCTGTTAAGCCCCAATAAGAAACTCCCAACCATACCATGAGCGAGGATGGAAAATGACCTCGTTGGACACGCGGAATACGGTTGCTCGCTTCTTCACTACTGTGTGCGTACACCTTATCATTTTGTTTGTTGTAGCTCTCTTCTACGGTAAAAATTTTTTCATCCGAAAAAAGAATTTCCCGATATTTTTTTCCCGCGTACCGCTTCAACAAAGCGCGGCATCTCTTCAGTCTCAGGTCCATTAGACGAGCATTCAAACGATGTCCTGTTTTTCTTCGATATGCCCGAAGCCCTAAGTCTTCATTTAACACCCTTTTCACCGTGGTTCTGCTTAACCCCATCTGAAGGGCCAACAGTTTCTGCTTACGTTTGGGATTTCTTTGAATTCGCGCCTTCACAGCTTTTATCACTGCTGGAGTCCTAACAGACCGAGGGCGACCACTTCTTGACCTGTCATCTACACTAGAGTCTTCATTGTATCGTTTGATGGTACGATAAACGAATCTTTTGGTTATATTCAAATTTTTCAGTATGTTAAAAATTTGAATTGGCGCGTAACCGCAACGATGCAACTCAATAACTGCAACACGATCTTCTTTAAGCGTCCACTCCATATTTAAAAATGAGTAAAATTCTAAAAGTATACATTTTTATTTTCATGAACAATTCGAAATTCGAATTCAATAAACTTTTTTGTGGCCAGCATTCTAAAAGAAAAGTTTTTACTGTGTGACAATACTTATGACCTGACTAGTTATTTAGCGTGTTCTTTCAACTGTCATTATTTGGATAGTTATGTCGATGCACGATAGGAATACTTTGCTTTGTATCAATGACATAAGAAGATTTCTGTGGTTGGGTTAAAGGTCTGGGGCAGGGAGCGATCATTCTTAATACATTGCGCATCCCAAGAAGGTTTCTCGGTTTGTGCCGTGAAGAACATCACCAGCGGCAAAATTTTAAACTATTTAAAAAAAATGTATTCATGAATACCTCCTTTTATATTTATTTTAATATTGAATAATTGGATAAATAAATATATTGAAAAAAAAAGTTATAGCCTTTTATTTAGATATGTTACTACACACATACAAGAAACATACACATAAAAGATTAGATTTTCGAATTGTCTAGTTTTGTTTGTTTTGCTTATTTACTGTAGATACGTTGACTAGTCGGAAAAGGCCTTATACGAATTTCTCCATTAATTTCTTTCTCGAGGCAATATGTTTCCGATCATTCCTAACTCCTAGTCTAAACGGAGCACCGAGTACGCAGATCTAAGAAACTCTATTCGGACTATTACTAGTTTAAAAAAAAGAGGAAGTTATATTTTGTCATTGAAGGGACTTAAGGGACACTACCCCACCTACCACCCTACCTATTTCCGTGAAATTTACTGGTGGCAGGACGTCTTGTGAGTACCACCATCCTGCCAATTTCTGCCGTGAAGCAGTAATGCGTTTCGGTTTGACGGGTGGGGCAGCCGTTGTACTGTAAAAACTGCGATCTTAGAACTAATATCTCAAGGTATGTGGCGGCATTTACGTTGTAGATGCTTATGGGCTCTGGTGACTATTTAACATCAGATGGGCCGTGAGTTTGTCCACACACCTAAGCGATAAAAAAAAACTGTTAAGAATATAATTCGTAGATAGCGTGATACAATACAGTGCTGTAATCTTCGATTTCAGGTGTAATAAAATTCGAAGTTATCAAGACAAATAGAGGTCACAGTCTTCTAATGATCAACAGTTATACGTTCAACCAGCCTTCCAAAACTGCCAACACCTGGACCTGCTCGAGCAGGACGTCGGTGCAGGCTTGCAAAGCGAGAGTCATAAAGGACGGTAATACCATAAAATCGCATTTCTTGTACCACAATCACGCTCCTCCGATTTACAAGAAAACGGCTAGTGGTGTTTTTATCAAAATATCGTAGGTTTTCTTCTATAGGGAATTGTGGGTTTAGTTGTCGATTTTGTACGTGGGCGAGTGAAGGCTGTCGCCCCTTGAGATGTGAGGTGGGAGTTTGTCATTCAAAGTAATTAGCATGTCTCTGAAGCAAGATTGCTTTGCGGCAGAAATAGGCGGGTTCGTTTTTCTAGTACGATATTTTGCCTTCGGTAATTACTACTTACTTTACTGGTGGTAGGACCTCTTGTGAGTCCGCGCGGGTAGATACCACCACCCTGCCTATTTCTGCCGTGAAGCAGTAATGCGTTTCTGTTTGAAGGGTGGGGCAGCCGTTGTAACTATACTGAGATCTTAGAACTTATATCTCAAGGTGGGTGGGTGGCGCATTTACGTTGTAGATGTCTATGGGCTCCAGTAACCACTTTACACCAGGTGGGCTGTGAGCTCACCCACCCATCTAAGCAAAAAAAAAAAAAACACCCTATCTTCATGTTATTATAAAATAGCTTCGTTCCATAAATTAACGATAAAAAATTTAAATAATAATATAATGTCTTAAAAAATAATTGTCTTTGCAATATTTGTATCAATAACGTAGTTCCATAAAGTAACGGTAAAAAATTTAACAATTAATATAGTGTTTAAGAAAAAAATCCTTGCAATATTTGTCTGCCTAAGTTAATTATGATTCACGATTATATAAAATTTCAAATTAAACAAATATTAAATAAATACACAGATAAATAATTATGAATCATTTAAGTTAGAAACGTACAGAGTACCTACAAGAAAGCTTTATTTATTTATTGTAACTGTGAAAGACATGAACTGTGGAGTGCTTTTCATTTTATTAATGTTCTTATGAATGCATAATAAACCATTTAAAAAAACTGCGGATATTTTACTGCCCATTCCAAGAATATTTATTCATTGTAATGTAAATTTTGAAGTCGTCGTGGCCTAAAGGATAAGACGTCCGGTGCATTCGTGTGTAGCGATGCACCGGTGTTCGAATCCCGCAGGCGGGTACCAATTTTTCTAATGAAATACGTACTCAAGAAATGTTCACGATTGACTTCCACGGTGAAGGAATAACATCGTGTAATAAAAATCAAACCCGCAAAATTATAATTTGCGTAATCACTGGTGGTAGGACCTCTTGGGAGTCCGCACGGGTAGGTACCACCACCCCGCCTATTTCCGCCGTGAAGCAGTAATGCGTTTCGGTTCGAAGGGTGGGGTAGCCGTTGTAACTATACTGAGGCCTTAGAACTTACATCTCAAGGTGGGTGGCGCGTCTACGTTGTAGATGTCTATTGTCTATGGGCTCCAGTAGCCACTTAACACCAGGTGGACTGTGAGCTCGTCCACCCATCTAGGTAATAAAAAAAAACAGTTAACCACGATCGAACTGCATTTAAGCCCGNAAAAAAAAAAAAAAAAAAAAAAAAAAGTAAACGCTACGGATAGCATTACACAAATCCGTTTTTTTTTACAAACAAATGCGTTTAAGTAAACTCGGCATTGTGTGAACGCACTAAGGCTTGAATTACAGAATCTAAATGAGTTAAATTAAATTTCACACTGTCATTGTTGTAGTCCTAGGGTACCCTGCTGGTACATAGGGCCCTCACAAGTTGTCTCCACTTTACCCTGTCTTGCGCTTGCTCCTTGACATCACTCCAGGTCACGTTGGCAGTTCTCATCTCACTCTCTACGGTGCGTCGCCAAGTGTGTACAGGGCGACCAGGTCTTCTCCTGGCAAGCGGTTGCCACTCAAACGCGATTGATGCTGCGTTGACTCCGCTGCACCGTAGAGTGTGTCCTATCCAACGCCATTTCCGATGAGCAATGTCTTGCGCGATGGGATTTTGGTCACATTTAGTCACTGTCATGTACACACAAAACTTAATACACCTTAATACTCAGCAATTAATTAATTAATTAAATGCTCGAAAACCCAAGCAAACACCCACTCATCGTTTTGTTTGTGTTTGATTTTATTTTATATTGTAATTACATTAATAACATTAACAATATTTTATACTTAACGGAAGGTGTGGCGTAGTGTAAGCCTACATAATTTGCTACCACAAGCCTATCTCTGCCGCGATGTTATCATGCGTAGCAATCTGAAAGGCAGTAACTACAATGATAGATTCCAGAATGGGTATTGGAATATTAAATAGGATGAATTTGCTTTTTCGTGAATTAAAATTAAAAGCTGAGTGTAAATACCATCTAATCAATAAAAAAAAACCTTAAAAAATTTCTCTGTAAATCACGTAAAAATAAATGATATCACAGAACCCTATTAATATATTTTAAATAGACTATGTACTCATTGCGTCTTATCTATGTTTTTATCTAATACGATCAATCCTTTAAAGCTCTTTTTTTTAATATTATTTTTAATTTTTTTTTCTTACAAATGCGCACTCTTCTAACATTTCGTTAATTTAATTGGTTTGTTAAATTTGACAATTTGTTGTTAAATATTTTGTATTTGCCTTTATTTAGCTTTTATATAAAATACAATTACTTACCTTTAGTTGCGTTATAAAAAAATGATCAAGGCACTATACACCTATCTTATTGATTACCACCCATGCTTTGTGATGTAGGTATTTACTATCATAGATGACGACAACGAATAAAATATGCATCCAGAATACTTTTCTTCGGTTTATGCAGACATAGCTACAACTACTTACGGCTATTAGCCCAAGTTCAAGAAAATTAAGTACTGGAAAACATCGATAATTATGAAAAAATAAATAAAATAGTTTGTAATTTTAACTACTTGAATGAACTGTTTTTGAAGTGAAAACTTCTTTAGAATCGTTGTGATTTCAAACCGGATGCAACGGAAAAAACGACAGGTAAGAGACACAAATACAAAAATGTGTAGGATGAAGCCAGCAAAGAATGAGACAGAAATATACATACTATTTAATACAGCGCCATCTATGAGATTTTTTAATACTAACGTGTGTATGAAAGCTCTTGTAGTGAATTTTAATTTAGGATTATACGTGAAATTAAAATATCAATTCACAGAGGGCGCTACCTTACAATTATTTACTAATGACAAAATTTTACATATACTTGAGACGTTTAGGATAATTGTATTTTAATTTTGGAAGGTTTCACTTCTACCACGTGTGAANGATTTTTTAATACTAACGTGTGTATGAAAGCTCTTGTAGTGAATTTTAATTTAGGATTATACGTGAAATTAAAATATCAATTCACAGAGGGCGCTACCTTACAATTATTTACTAATGACAAAATTTTACATATACTTGAGACGTTTAGGATAATTGTATTTTAATTTTGGAAGGTTTCACTTCTACCACGTGTGAATTGCACACATGTATTTTTTTTTATCATAAAGTTGCATCATATTTTGTACATATTTTTTAAAATAAATACACGAGTGAGTTCTAATCAATTTTCTTTACCATTTCAGCTGAAATCAAGTATGAAATAATAAAAACGAATAGAGGCGTCCATCTTCTAATGATAGACAGTTACACGTTCAACAAAACCTCAAGAATGGCCAACACTTGGACTTGCTCAAGTCGAATGTCGCAGTGCTGTAAAGCTAAACTCATTATTCACGGGGACACTATAAAGTCATGTTTCTTAGGCCACAACCACCCTCCTCCGCATTATATGAAAACGGCTAATGGCGTTTATATCAAAGTAGTGTGAGATAAACGCCAAAAACACAATGGCCAATTTCTAAGGCCCGAGCCAATATGTTCTATTTATACAATAAAAATCGTATCAATCGTTTTTAATATACAAGATTATTATATTTTATTAAATGTTATAAAATAGCGGGTAATGCACAGGAGAAAACGGGTCATCAATCAGTCTAAAATTCAGGAGTACCTTTGGATTAACAAAACATTATTATAGAAGCTTCTACAATTCTGTACAAATTAATGAATATACATCTGTTTATTAATTGACTTAAGATTGAACGTTATTTAATAGCATTAAGAGCCTTTTATTAGCTTGCTGTTTGATTGTATGATTGATTGATGTTTGTATGTAACGAAATATTTCAATTCATTTACTCTGACTTTAAGACGTCCGATGAACTTTAAAATTTATTATCGCATTAACGACAGATGATCACAAATACAATAATTTTATAACATCTCTCTAATATATTATAGCGTGATCAGTATCAGTAGGGTAAAAAACTCCATTTATTATTGATGAAGCATCTTCAATATGTTTGTGGATGGATGGTCACTGGAAATCAAATTAAACTACAATGATACAGCCATAGAAATATGACTTGTTAATTAATGGATAAAGATTAAAAATTGTCAAGCGAGCTTATGAAGCGTTTTTAATATTTTTCAAAGATATATTTAATCAATAAAAATCTATACTCCATGTATTATAGATATTAAATTATCTCGCAACTTGAAAAAATAATTTATTCACCACGAAATTCTATTAGAAGTAAATCGCTGTTCGATTTGGAAATCTATTACGAATATGCATTATTGATGTTGTTACGGACGATATCTTTCAAAAGCCCTTTTTTCTGTCATTGTGTGTATCTGGAGATTATTTTAAGTAACTGTCTTTTGATTTCAAAGAAAGTTTAAATTTTTTTTTTTTTAATTATTCGTATTCCTACTCTAATAATATTTATATATATATTTTTTTAATTTAGTTTTTGACATGTATAGGTTTAGTTAGTATGACTAACCTAAAAGTGAAAGTAATAGCTGATAAGTGAATAAACATAGAGTATTCTTTGTCTTCAAACAAAACTTTCTTCTTTTTTTATAATACACTAATTGTATATTGAACTCTGAGCTAAGTACCTAAATGTTTTTTTTGTATATATTTTATATGCCTATCAATTAAATGACTGGACTTCATTTACATCTGATTTTTAATTCTGTAATAAAAGACCAGGAGACGAGCCTACAATTTAGTGTACGTAGTTACGTGTAATAAAAATCAAACCCGCAAAATTATAATTTGCGTAATTACTGGTGGTAGGACCACGCGTGAGTCCGCATGGGTGGGTACCGCCACCCTGCCCAATTCGGCCGTGAAGCAGTAATGCGTTTCGGCTTGAAGGGTGGGGCAGCCGTTGTAACTATACTGAGACCTTAGAACTCATATGGGTGGGTGGCGGCATTTACATTGTAGATGTCGTCCACCCATGTAAGCAATAAAAAAAAGCAGGATTTGTTTCCGTCTATAAATAAATCGCATATTTTGTAAATATTTCTAAAAGTTTCTGCAAAAGCCGAGCGATATCTAACCGATTTAACTTTTCATTTCAGCTGAAATAAAATACGAAATCATAAAGACAAATACAAACTTATATCTTCTAATGATCGATGATTACACATTCAACAGGACCGTGAGCGTGGCTGACACTCACACTTGGACTTGTTCGAGCCGAATGACGGATTATTGTAAGGCCAAACTACTAATCCAGGGTACTAATGTGAAAACGTGTTTCTTGGGCCACAACCATCCTCCTCCGCGCTATTTAAAGACCTATAATGGTGTCTACGTCAAAATGGGATGAAATCAAAAGTAAAATTTTTGGCTAATCGTTTGACTTGAACCCAAATATTAGAAGAGTTTTTCGTAAAAGTTTACTAGATGATGATGAACCCCACCCATTTTATAATAATTCCAGTAATTTTCAATTGCTAATTAACACTAAAATATATCTCAAAAGTTAATATTTTAAATTTTACACTGCTTTAGAAAATAATCAGTTTTTTTTTCATTTCCTGAACATTTTACATTTTCAGAGATGTGCCCTTTTCGAAATTGCATATTCAATTAAATTAAACTAGACGATTTTTTTTTTTTGATAACGCCATCTTGTTGTGTCTTTAAAGCGTTTAGTTGCCCTCAATTAAGAAAAATAGTATTATTATTCGCCAATAGATGTCGGGAAGAGTTGATTATTGAAAACACGAATAAAGCAACATTTTCTGAAAATAAATCGTAGCTAGATCGATTTATCGCCCCCGAAATCCCCTGTATACTAAATTTTATGAAAATCGTTGGAGCCGTTTCCGAGATTCAGATTATATACATATATATTAATATAGAAGAATTGTTTAAAGGTATAATATATGTGTTCTTAGTTTTAGTCAAGATTTTTAGATTAAATTAGTACGCTTTGAACTAAACGGGAATGGGGATGTAAATTAGTTGAAAATCAAATAAAAATATTTTTGATGGTTTAATGGCGCGTTTTTTTTAAATATTATTTCCGCTGTTTAGAAAATTTTAGTTTTTGTGGTCACGGACATCACAGGTAATATTCGTTAATGTTTGAACATTTTTCCAACTACAGTCTGTAATTCTAATTTAGAAAAATCCCAGACTTGTACGTTTCATTTCACACAGAATAAGCTAAATAGTATATTGAGGTTTGGCTGTTTGTTTGACTTGGTTATTTATCGTCACGATAAGAATATCCCAGTTTGAATATTTGGATATCATCAAAGTTCTCGGCGCCACTGTCCACTAATACCAACTAATAAAAAGTCAACTAATAAAAATTTTGAAAATTCAAAATACGTAATGTTTTATTTGCAAATTATTCTCAACGTATACAAGTAAGCACGTAACTAAATATATCAACTTCAGTACCAACATATTTCCTCCTCTATTTTAACTCTGATGAAGCATAACGCTCCTATTGACAACGAACCGTCTGATAGCCAAGTTTGTTTGTGTGTTTGCAGCGAGCGGAAGCTGACTGTTAAAAAACTGTTAGATTATACAAAATTTGTTAAGACACATGTTTCGATTACAGTCTCTGAGGGCTGAAGCGCATAAATTTTACTTAAACAATTATATTATTTAATTTTCAATACCTTTAAAAAGGTAATATACTCGCATATGTACATTCAAGTTCCTATAACGAATGATCGCATTGTTGGTTTTTTTTATTACCTTGCCTGAGTAGGTTAAATGTGGAATTATCATTTACTATCATATTGACAAAATAAAAAATATGTATCTTCGTAAAAGGAGAACGAGCTACAAGCTGGTCTGATTTCAAGTTAGAAAAATTCAATAGGAAATAGACTACTATACGATTGCTTTATCAGACAATGTCGCCGTCAGCGTTCACTTATCAAGCATGTTATTGTCCACAGGTCCGTTGACGTTCGAAATAATACCGACAGCACGTGGTGGTCACTTGATAATGGTGAAGAATTACACATTTTCAAAATTATCGAAAGTATCGAAGACGTGGTTCTGTTCGAGCAGACTCTCGAAGGATTGCAAAGCGCGAATCGTTTTCAACAAACAAAATTCGGTATGCTCGTACGATTTGAGTCATAATCATTCGCCACCCGAATATATTCGGACCAATAATGGCTTGTTTGTCAAAGTACGGGCAGGTAGCTAATGTTAGTGCTAAACATTAGCATATCGACGCTTGAAAGGCAAACATGACTAAGCGACAATAACTGCTTTGTACATAAATGATAGGCAATAACCATATTCGATGCACAAAAAAATATATATTTCTAGGTCTATTAAAATCATTTCAATCCTACAGCTACTAGCTAGATTCTATTACAGCTAGATTCGTTAAAATAAATGTTGTTTTCAGGTATTTCAACTTTAAATTAGTATACTGTAAAATTCACGCATTGTCGCTTAGTCACGTTTGCCTTTCAATATATAAGTCGACGTGGATACGTCCGGTGCATTCGTGTTGAGCGATGCACCGGTCTTTCGAATCCCAGGCGGGTACCAATTTTTGTAATAAAATACGTACTCAGCAAATATTCTCGATTGACTTCCACGGTGAAGGGATAACATCGTGTAATACAAATGAAACCCGCAAAATTATAATTTGCGTTATTACTGGTGGTAGGACCTCTTGTGAGTCCGCGCGGGTAGATACCACCACCCCGCCTATTTCTGCCGTGAAGCAGTAATGCGTAAATGCGTTTCGGTTTGAAAGGTGGGGCAGCCGCTATAACTAAATTTGAGACCTTAGAACTTATATCTCAAGGTGGGTGGCGCATTTACGTTGTAGATGTCTATGGGCTCCAGTAACCACTTAACACCAGAAGGGCTGTGAGCTCATCCACCCATCTAAGCAATAAAAAAATATATATATCGTTACGATCGAAACATATCGTTTGGGAAAGGACTTACAGATACTTTTGGTAGTCTTGTTAGAACTTCTTACTAGCCAAAGGTGTAGTAGTATGTTATGGCTATGTCGCTGTAACCGGTGCACGCACCTTACAGTTCCCCATCCCCCCCAAAAAACCCAACCTTGCTTTATCTCACCCCTACCCAGCGTGGCAGGGAGATCACGCCCGGGCAGGGTTAGTCCCGAGACCCGTACCGTGCCCCCGTTAGGGGGTATGACGATGTATATATAGTATGGGTAGTATTTGAAGTATGCGTTTATTTAAAATATGGTAAAAAAATACATAATACATTGTTCTGTGCCGCGCTCGATAGTGATGTTAATACTGTATTAAAATTAGAACATAAAATGAGAATTATTATTAGTTAGTATTAGTCGAAAGAGAAATTATTATTAGTTTTAAATGAATATGGCGTTGTTTGATTTTATGTTTTAATTATTCAAATTTTAAACTATATCTGCATAGTATTATAGAAAAAAATATATAACATAGTTTTTAAGTACTTCCACTAAATTTATAGTTTTAAATAGTCTAAAATAGTCTAAATCTACTCGTATAAGCTCTCCGTAAAATTTTGTTTGTAATAATATAATAAGAAATTAAATGCTATACAAAATTAAAGGTTATATTGATGTTGTTCATAATTACTTTAGTGTGTTTTATAGTAAAATTTGAATACTGAAATCATAATGTAATTCATCCAAAACATATTTTATATACAACTTTATGTTTATTGATAGATGCCGTCATATGTTCCAATGAACGTACAAATTTAAAACCACAAACAAAATGACAAGTTATTGATTAACTATTATATAATTCAGTCGTGAGCTGATACACGTGTGCATAAAGTATTAATATATATAGTATTTTTTCTTTATCACTGAAAAATATTCCTGATGTAAATATATGACATGAAAGCCAATAGTTAAATATGAAGAAAATGTTTTATATAAAGTCAATGAGATATAAATATCCAGGGTCCATTGAAATCGTTTACAAAACAAAGGGACTTATATACTGGGTGTTAGGAGACCGGTTCTGAAAACAAATACAGACGATAGGACTAATGACACCTATGATGATGGGACGGAAAAAAATGGATCGTGATTAAAAAAAATCATATTTTTAAAACGTTTTATTAGCATTATTTACGCTCCATCATGTTAGTACAGCTAAATAACACGATAGCTT